AATCCGATAAGGAAACGTATCTGGTTCTATATGGTTTTATAGGTCCTATATGGAAAGTCCTGGTTAACATTACGGATTCTATATGGTTGAATATGGATTTCCATTTTAAAAAATTTCATATTCAACCATATAGGGAAACCTATCTGGAAATACATATAGAACAGAAACCAGATAAATCCATATACAACCATATACATGTCTTTATAAAGACATGTATATGGATGTATATGGATTTATCTGGTTTCTGTTCTATATGTATTTCCAGATAGGTTTCCCTATCTGGTTCTATAGTGTTTTAGAGTGTTTTTATCTGGTTCTATAATGTAATCTTCTATCTGGTTCTATAGTGAAATGCCTGTTTCAAATACCTATATTGAACCAGATAGAAACCATATAGAATCCAGATAGTGTTTTTTATATGGTTGTATATGGCATTTTCAATAGGGAAGTACGGTTACTCGGACCATTCAAAGGCATAATAAAGACGGGTTCTGTGGAAAGTAGACATCGAAATGGGCTTCCAAGGGTTAAAACTCAAAGGGAAGACCAATATTTAAGTCAAGTAACTAGGAAAAACAGGTCCATCACGATCAGAAGTCTTCGAAGACAGTACCAGGCTTCATACCACCAACTTATTTCCAATGCCACCATCAGAAGACGCGTCATTGCATCGGGTGCACAGGTTAATGCCTAGACATAGACAGTCGCACTTAGAATGGGCTCAAGATCACCAAAACTGGTTATTGTCTCAATGGTCAAATGTTCTGTTCTCGGATAAAACAAGGATTGGATTGGTGAGTGACGACTGTCGTCGTGTCTGGAGAGAACATGGAGTACACCAGCGACTTGCTTTTGCCAGAGAAGTGGTACCATTTGAAGGCGGGAGTGTTATTTTTGGGGTGGAGTCATGTATGGAAGAAAAAATCAACCTCAAAATCAATTTATGGATGACAATTCCCGACAACGTCGAATTAGAGTTTCTGCGAGAGAGTGAAATTGACAGAATTGATTGGCCACCTCTTTCTCCGGACATGAATCCCATTGAACACGTTTGGGATTATTTATCCAGACTGATTCGTAACCGTTTGAACCCTCCTATGAATGTTCAAGAGCTTATTGCAGCCGCTGTTGAGGAATGGAATAACATTTCTTAAGAATACCTAAATAAAGTATACAGGGCATGCCCAGACGTTTCCATGCATTGTTAAAGAGCAATACAAAGTACTAACAATATAAAGTTTTTAAAATTCTTATTAGATTATTTGTACAAATATATTTACAATAAATGAAAATTTCGCATTTTTTCTTTTTGTCCTCCTATCTTCTAATTTGGTAAGTATCAACAATCTTTTTTATGTTATAAAAACAGTTAATTACATAATAGAAAAAAGATAGTTTGTTACCATTAAATGCGCTAACTTCTAGATGGAATTACAAAGTGGTGCAAGACTTTTAAAACAGTGTAGGTTAAGTTTCCTACTATAGCTATCCTTTTAGAGACAGCTAAAACAATTTCATTTTAAAAAGGACAGGCTAAACGGATGACAAATTTAAATAAAAAGCTTCAGAACGTTAAATAAGAATACATTTGCTCGGTTGAGACCACAAACACCTCGAGCAATGAAATGTATGAAATGATTAAATCCTGACAGAGAGTGCTATGGTTCAGTCTGGTTTAATAACATTCAACGTTTGAGACAATATTAACGCCAGTTTAAATATAAACGGGCGGACCCATTAACTGAACCAAAATGCTCAGCGTCCCATTCCTTATGTTACGTACATATGTTGTATCTAAGCGAAGTAAACGGTGTTTCAACAAGTCGAGCACAACGTAGCAATTACACAAAGTGGTTGGGAGAGGGACATGAATTTCGGCAAAGAGATTACGGATTAGGGTTTTAATATTTTAATGCTTGTTTGCGTTGATAATGAAAATTTTCAACGCTTTTAATTAAATTTCATATTTATCCTTTTCGAATTTACATAATTCGCTTTAAGTATTAATACGATGTTTTGAGATAACTTTGTTAGCTTCGAACAGATCTAATTAAATAAATTTATGGTTAGTCCGAAAGCCGATAGCCTCCTGCATTTGCCGTGATTTACTTCGTTTATTTGGCGCTGCTTGAGAATTTACTGTGGTTTTCGACCTTTCGATTTATTTTTCTCTCTGTGGGAAAACCTTCATTTATAAAGAAGGGTGATTTGTAAATAAAATAGGAAAAAGCTATACTTGTGGTTGCCGACATGATATGTCACGTACCGTTACACACGGTGAATAGAAACTAGAGGGTCAATATAAACTAATTTTTAGACTTTTTTGTGTAAAGCAGTTTTAAGTATTTGGCGAACTCTAAATTATAGCAAATAGCAAAAATATTAAGGGAATTATAACCTTGCTTAGTCAAAATGTTATATCTACAATATGAGGTAATAAAAGAAAAAACGGTGCTTCTGAGAAGTGATTTCCACTTTCAGTAAATTTATTTTTGTGATATTCTATTTATTTATGATAAAACTAAGAATTTAAGAGCAATTGATTGATTTTTGTTTAATTTTCAAAAGTATTTTTTTACACAAACATTAAGATTTATCATAGCTAATACCTAAAATATATATTTCAATTAAATCAATTCTTAAAAACACATTTTTTACTCAACATAAAAGGATTGTATTGTATAATTGCAGAAACTAAACGTTTCGGATATTCTGGGAGTTTTTTACTCAACTCGTAAAAGACCCAAAAAGCTTTCCAGTCTGGGTGGGCTGCTATTACCAAAACACATATTTACAACTTTTTTCAAACTTGAAAAACATTTGCCTCTCAAGTAGTCAATATTTTTTAATAATTTAAGACTTTTATTGCCATTAAAACACCATTCAGCCTTAATATTTGTTGTTTTGATATTTTATATGTAGTGAGTTTAAAATTGTTGTAACTGCACCGAATAAAAGATGCAATTCAGGAGGTAGGACTAGGACATTTTTATCTTCAATGATTGGTAAATTACAACAGTTTTGGTAAATACTGAATTTTGCTGTTTTACCATTTGCTTCACTTCACCAATTAAATTTTTTTTTAATGTCAAATAAATACAGCCAAATTACCAATTCATGGCATCTTATCTATAGGTAGATACATTTTTAATAAAGGAAAAAAACGTATAATTTTAGGAATTAAATTAAAACTTTAATTGCATATTGTACAAAAAATGGTGAATGATATAAAAAAATATTAAAAACAATTTTTTTATAAAATGAAATAACCTTTGAACTAATTTAAACGTTTTGCTTTATATAAATAAATTCAAAAAAGTTAAGTGGATAGTTAAAAGAGTGCATAATATTTTTATTAAAAATCCAATTAAAAAACAAACCATGGATTTTTTTATTTTGCTTTTGTTGACATTAAAAAAAAATAGAACATCAAAAAAAAATTTACACAGTAAGTGTAAAAATCACTTTTTAGAACAGCACCATAATCGAATGTAATGTAATGTAGTTATAAAAACGTGTATTTTTTTTAAAACCAAAATAGTATATTATGTATCACGTTTGATAAAAGCCATTTTACACAAGAATTTAATTTAGGCACGAGCTTATTATTATCTAAACATAATTTAAATTAAATATTTGTATAGAGCAACATCTATAAAATAATAGAGAATGCATTCCTTGAAAATGGACCGGAAGCAGGATGTAAGTATTTTTCACAGCAAAGAAGTAAAGAATTTTTTTTATTAACTCCACGGTGTCAAGAATTGTCTACGAAATCGTTTTGTAAATCATTTTAATATGTAGGTTTATTTAATGAAACTTGACCTTAAAAAAGGTACCTATGAATTTATAATTAAAAAGGTATAGTGGCCACAAGTATGATTTGCACCAAGGCCAACTTCTGCTTGGATACGCCACTGGACAACTAACTTAAAACTAAATTCAGCCCGTGACTAAAAACCTGTTGCGAACTTCAGCCAGTGACTAAAAGGCCATAAAGCCACAACTTGTTCATATGTATGGAAACATGTACGCGTTTTAAAGTTGGGAGTAGACAAAATATATATATTAAACGGCTTATATACGAGACCAGAAAAATTTAAAAGCAGACTTGTCTCTATTTGCTGTATCGATATTACGTGCGACAAATACGAGATAGGTAAATAGCGCACAAAAAAGTCGTTGGTGTGCGAGTTTTTGGTGAACATTGGGAAATCAATTCGGCGAAATTGAAGGACGGGGATTAAATTTCACCCCTTTTAAGTGCGTTCATTCGATATTTTGATGTTGTGGAGTCTACACTGTTTAAAATATCTGTGGTGTAAAAAGTAATCTTAAAATGGTGTCAAAATCCAACACCAAGTGGTGTTAATTTAACACCATGAATTATGGTTGAAAATGTGTACCGATCGCGGTGTGGATCACGTGATATTCTTAAATCTCGCCTCTGTTGACTTACCTGAAGAATATATAAACTCAGGTGATCCTTTGCTTTGGTGTGACACTACAAGTTGTTCGATACTAAAGAGACCTTAAATAGGTGGAAACAGCTGTCAATACTTGAAGTATTTTAAATTAGTGGAACGCACTAAAAACATTATCTCTAGCGAGTTGAAGGTTCCGTTTTCTGGAATAATACCACTGGTAATATACTAGTAATGCGTCAAGGAACTTCCTGTTTCCTTTTTTTTTCCTTTTTTCTGTGTAGTATGATTTAATTTGACCACAAACACATAATATTTAACACTGAAAAGGAGTTCAATTTACACCAGGTAAAATTTATTTTAATACTGTGTGAAAGTTAAATTAACACCATTTTAGTATTTGAATTAACACCGGGCCAACGGACCACATTTAACACCATTTTGGTTTGTATCGATATAGACCATTTATGGTGTTAATTTGGTGTTAAAATGGTCATGAAATTTTGAACAGTGTATGGGAAAAAAATGGCCATGCAGAAAAGCCTAAAATGATGCGGATGAAGTGGATAGTGTTACCTGCATTTTTCCGACTGGCGGCGAGACGACGAGAAAGATTCTCATGGTGGCTTTGAGAAAATCGTCCTGCTTCAATCCCTCCTTGGACTTGCTAGACTTACTCCTACTAAAACTAATGCTAGGCTTAAGCGCTGCTTTATCACTACTGCTATCCTTTTTGTCACTCTTTCGAACACCTTTTTGTTGAACGCTACTGGTTTCTCCTTGTTTCGGAGACGCTACTGGAGAGTCTTTCGACGACTTGTCCTTGAAACTTAACGCTTTAAAATAGTCGCACGTCGTCGTTTTTTCCGGCCCGATGGATTTCTGCTTGGTGAGTGTCTGTTTGTCACTCTTCTTCGCTTCCTCGGTACTCTTGTCGCGCTTGAACAAGTCGAACTTGCTCTGCGTTAGGGAATTCTTTCTGACGAGCGGCTCGCCCTTGGCCTGCGAGGCCTGCTGCTCCTGCCCGCCTGAGGCATGCCTCTGTACCTTCCTCCTGATGGAGCCGACGAACCTCCTCCACTCCTGCTGGTGCTGCCCCTCGCCGCACCCCGTCCCCCCCTTCTCCTCCTTCTCGATGTTCAGGCTTTCGCGGGCGATCTTAGGCGTCGGCTTCGTCGAAAATAACTTTACTATGCTGAACAGCTTTCGCGATTTACGATTTTTCACTTTACCAGCAATCGCACCATCGCGCGTACACACAATTACAGTTACTTAATACAATTTAAACTACTAGGGTGTCTATGTACATACAATAAGCGCATATGCTTTCCTCCAAAATGTTTTTAACTAAAAATTAATCAAAGTTACATTTGCATTTACGGGTCTTTACTTTATTAAACCGTTTCGCATTTCTGGGAAACAGTTTTTAATTTGGAAGTCATACAATGATGTATACTTCAAAAACTGATATTAATAATGAAATGTTTAATTTTGCACGATACAATGTAATTTTCATTTGGTGACAGATATAACACAAAGCATTTTGAAAGCATTAAAGTATTTGTGTCGGCAAAGACATGGGTCCGCCCGAAAATCTCGGTTTAAGCTTTAATTCAATTAAATGTAAATTCCAAAATTTCAATAAATAAATTTTCCGCTTGGCTTATTCTACTACAAGCTCGCATAAGTAAGTACATCCTTTTAATGTATCTATACGGTAGGGAGTCCGTTATTTCCCAAGCTGTTTTTTATCATCTAAATTATTTGTTTACAGGCCAAAAGCAATTTTAAAAAATCGTTATTTATTATAAAGGGAAAAAACGTATTCGATTTTAGCTCGAAGTTGTGAAGTTGTAAAGCTAAAATCGAATATTTTTACCCGTGTATAATTAGTATTTCTTTTAAGCCTAGGTATAGCAATTATATTTGTACAGTTCAAAAGTCAAATTATTATACACCGCCGTACAATAATGAAAAAACATTAAAATAGCATAGGAAGAGTGGTTCCATGTACCGCGTTTTCCTCTAAATTAGCAAATAAAATAAAAAATTACAGGTCACTGTAAAATAAATTTATGTACATGTATATGTTTTTTATTTTAAGGGTGCCGAAAAATTTAAAAGTATCGTTATGTAGGTACTGAAAAATACTTTTTTCTAGGTATAAAAAAATTGGAAAATTGATCAGTATACAGGAAAAAACAAAAAGTTTATTTTTTTGTAAAGGATCACCCTATATATAAATTTATTTTTAGATTCCTTGTAAAATTCTAAGCATAATTCATAAAACATACCATATACCTAAATTCAACCGTTTCTAAAATACTCGCATTTGAAACGTATGTACTTTTTTAAATTGTTACAAAACAAGAAGCCTCAGGATAACAAAATGTTTATTAAAAATAAATAACTATAATGACAATATGTCAATATTAATTGTTAAGTGAGTAAAAATGCCGTACACAGAAAGACAAACTATTTGAAACTATCTTAAAAATAATTTAAATATTTTAGAAACGGTTGAATTTAGGTATATATATGGTATGTTATATCAATTATGCTTGGGATTTTACAAGGAATCGAAAAATAAATTTAACTTTTTTCCCTGTATAATAATCAATTTTCCAATTTTTTTTATACGTCGAAAAAAGTATTTTTCAGTACCTACATAACCACATTTTTTTGGGACACTTTAAATAAAAAAAAGCTAAAAGGGGGCGACAGGGGATCACCCTGTACATAACCTATATATTACATATGGCAAATATGAAACCTGACAAAATTTCGCAAACTCAATAATATTAATGTAAGTTAGTACAGAATTATTAAATGCTTTTAAAAAAATAGTATATACAACACGGCGGAGAAAGAATATTAACTGCCTCGCTTAGATCTGCAGCGAACACAGAGCGCGGCTATAAATATGCGCTGTCTCCTCCAGTTGTACATATAATGTACTATTTTTTTTGTGATGGGATAACGACGAATTAATCAACCGAAGAAAATCAATCTATATCAAATTTGAAGTTTTCATTGGTAGGTATAGCCTATTGGCTATTGTACCTTTGGCGTTGCTAAATCCTTTGAAGTAATCAAATTCCTATGTGTCAACTTATTAATTGTATATAAAAGATTGCAAATTGAGTTGTTGTAGAAGGTTCTTTATTAGTTATTTTGAGTATTTAAGATTAAAAAACTATTTAAAAAAAATAAATTCTAATGCGTTAAAATATGTCTTCTATATTGTTGCATGGCTATTAATTAGCAAGTTATGCATATTTTTATGTTATTAAAATGTAATTTAGGCAGGATTAAACGACATCGGATTTTTTTTAATATTTTTAGACTGTAAACAAATAATTTGGCAAACCCACGTAAAAAAAACTTTAACGCTAAGAAGAAAAAAAAATTAATGAAGATACTTTTCAAAAACTGTAACGCGTAATATTTTCTACAAAAATATGTTATATATTTTTACATGTACAGGGTGATTCCCTATAATGTCGCCCCCCTTTAACTTTTTTATTTTAAGGGTCCCAAAAAATTTAAAAGTGTGGTTATGTAGGTACTAAAAAATACTTTTTTTCTACGTATAAAGAAAATTGGAAAATTGATCAGTATACAGGGAAAACCAAAAAGTTTATTTTTTTTCAATGGATCACCCTATATATGTATTTATTTTTCGATTCCTTGTAAAATTCTAAGCATATTTCATATAACATACCATATACCTAAATTCAACCGTTTCTGAAATATTTAAATTATTTTTAAGATAATAATTTAAAATAGTTTGTCTGTCTCTGTCTGACTTCGCCATTTTTACTTATTTAACAAGACATATTGACAAAATGTCACTATAGTAATTTATTTTCAATAAAAATTTTGGTATAGTGAGGCTTCTTGATTTCTAACAGTTTAAAAAAACATTTAATGATAACATTTCGAATGCGAATATTTCAGAAACAGTTGAATTTAGGTATATAGTTTGTTATATGAATTATGCTCAGAATTTTACAAGGAATCAAAAAATAAATTCATATATAGGGTGATCCATTGAAAAAAAAATAACTTTTTGTTTTTCCCTGTATACTGATCAATTTTCCAATTTTCTTTATAGGTAGAAAAAAAGTATTTTTTAGTTCCTACATAACCAAACTTTTAAATTTTTTGGGACACTTAAAATATAAAAGTTAAAGGGGGGCGACATTATAGGGGATCACCCTGTACAGGGTGATCCCCTATAATGTCGCCCCCTTTTAGCTTTTTTATTTTTAGTATCCCAAAAAATTTAAAAGTGTGGTTATATTTGTAATAAAAAATACTTTTTTTCTAAATATAAAGAAAATTGGAAAATTGATCAGTATACAGGGAAAAAAAAAACGTTTATTTTTTTCAATGGATCACCCTATATATGTATTTATTCTTGATTCTTTGTAAAATTCTAAGCATATTTAATATAACATACCATATCCCTAAATTTAACCGTTTCTGAAATATTTAAATTATTTTTAAGATAATAAGTTGAAATAGTTTGTCTTTCTCTGTCTAAGTACGACATTTTTACTTATTTAATAAGACATATTGACATAATATCACTATAGTAATTTATTTTCAATAAAAATGTTGGTATACTGAAGCTTCTTGATTACTAACAGTTTAAAAAAATATGTAATTTTAACATTTCGAATGCGAATATTTCAGAAACGGTTGAATTTAGGTATATGGTTTGTTATATGAATTATGCTCAGAATTTTACAAGGAATCGAAAAATAAATTTATATATAAGGTGATCCATTGATCAATTTTCCATTTTTTTATACATAGAAAAAACTATTTTTTAGTATCTACACAACCACACTTTTCAATTTTTTGAAACAATTAAAATAAAAAAGTTATATATAGGGATCACCCTGTACATAAATTATGATTTTTTTTTGTCATTTAGGAAATTTAAAAAAAATTGTTTATAGACTTTAAACAAGTAATTTGGATGATACCCAAGTAAAAAAAAATCAACTTGGGAAATAACGGACAGCTTAATAATTATATCAGTAAAATCACTGAAATGAAATGAATTTGAGGTTTTCGCTGGGGAATCTCTTCATCAATCGGAACTTTCCTTAAAAAAATATGACTATTTACGATAAAAGCGAGATTCTTTTTTCGCCGATGTATTTTTTACGTTAAAAGGCATAAAGAAATGCCGAAGAAAAACAATTTTACACGGATTGGGTTGTTTGAATAAGAAAAACATTACCTATTGAAAAATTAATTCACAGAGAACTTAAATTGGAGTGCTTTAGTTTAAGCTTTGAAACTGTACTTCGCGTTATTTGAGACAATTAAAATTTAGTTTGTTTAGACGCAAGGTATTTGTGCAATATTGTCAGTTTTAATCCGGTGCAATACGAGAGTTTGTAAACTAAATACATACATTTTATTTCATGGCCTTGCCAGAATTTTAATTACATATTTATGGAAATTGTATAGGTTTTAAGTGATCTAGATAAAATTATAAAATTAAATTAAATTTATTAAATTCGTGATTTAAAATTAATCAAAACATTTTATTAGAAGTTGTTTGATTTCGAATAGTATTCTGTTTTGCAAATCATTGGTTATTGTTTTATTTTCTTCATGTATCATATATTTCATATTACATTTCCAAGCCTGTAAGGTATTTTTAAGACATGTACTTAAGTATAAGTTCAGTATAAGTTCCATAAAACTTCACTTTATACAGTTTACCGTGAGAAAATAAAACTTTGGATCACATGATGAAATAAGAATATGTTTTTATCTTGTGTATAGATATTAATTAATAATATGCAACATATAAACATTCATATCATGCCACATTAAATTTTACTCACGTTAAATTGATGATTATCTGTCGACATGATTTAAATTTATTGCCTGTTTTTATTTAAATTAAAAGGTATAAAACTCGATGTGCACTTTTTCGTAGTCGCAAAATGATTTTTACTGCTAAATGCGTCCATTCAGATCTCATTACGTATGTATGAAACTGTACGTTCCCTGTGTCTGACAATTTATTATTTACCGCTTTTCATAAATGGCGCGTTAGAAATATCGCAATAAAGTTCGTTTTACGGTCCTAATAAACCCATGAGTGTCATTGACTGGCTATTTTACACAAATTTATCGCTTCAAATACCCAAACGTGAGGTTTTATTGCTTCA